TAATAGCAGGTATCAATTACAAATTGAATAAAATCTTAATTTATCATATTAAATCTTTTAATTACATATTTTATTATAGCAGTAAAGAAAATTGATTCAATTCACGCATGCAATCAAAAATAATTGCCCAATCACATAAGTATTTGTCAAACTTTAAATACTGTATATAAAAAAAGCAAAATATAATTCAAAATTTACTTGAATATAATGAAGCCAATATCAATTTTAAAAATTATAATTCATGAACTAAACTTACACAATACAATTTTGGGTGTCAAGGTTTTTTCAGGCTTTTTCGGAGTTGTAATCAAATATAAAGACTTGACAATTTCTAGTTCACCATCTTTTCAGAATTTCTTTTTTATTTAAGATTTTATATCGCATATTTTTAACTTGAGATCTTAATCACCTGATATCTATTAAATATCAGGTGATTAACGTAAGTGAGTTTATGCGGGTCCATCAGTACCCACCTACTGAGAACTGAAAATAATCGGATCTGAAAAAATATAGATCCGGAACTGAACTGTGGCCCAGTTCCGGTTCAATTCTGGGTATTCGGTTCCATTTTGCGGAACACTAGTAAAAACATAGTAAAAATCTAAAATTTTAAAATTATTAAAAATCCAAAGTTTTATTAATAAATATTTTGTAATTTTATACGATTAGAAAATTTGATATTTATAAAATTTTCTAAAAAGGATTTTATCAAAATTATGTTTACCAGAGTTACGAATTAATTCTATCACCAAAATTATGTTATGATTTAATTCTACCACCAAAATTTTGTTCACCAGAGTTATGACCAAATTATTTATACCAGAGTTGCGAATTAATTCCACCAAAATGTTGTTTACCAGAGTTACAAATTAATTCTACCAAAATTATGATTGTGTTTACCAGAGTTACAAATTAATTCTGCCAAAATTGTGTTTACCAGAGTTACAAATTAATTCTACCAAAATTATATTTGAATTCAAAATAATTCTACCAACATTATATTTACTAGAGTTGCTAATTAATTCTACCAAAATTATGTTTACTAGAGTTAGGAATTAATTCTACCAAAATTATGTTTACCAGAGTTTGAATTAATTCTATTATGTTTACGAATTAGTTCTACTGAAGTTATGTTTACCAGAGTTCTACCTAGTGTTCTGAAAACCGATTCAGTAAGAACTGTTTTCGGATATGTAGCATTTTTTTAACGTTAATTGTAAAAACGTGTTTACAAAACCTATTTGGACTGGTTATATTAGTGAGAGATTATATTAAGGTTGACATATATGAGGGAATTTTAAAATAAAAAATTTCTAAAAGTTGTCTTATTGTTTAGGTTGATATTAATAATAGCAATTACAAAATCGAATCCACGTCATATTATAAAGATTTATATAAAGATTATCCTGTATTTTAATAATTGATTATTGGTCTATATATCATATCTATTGCACTTTGGAAAGTTTGTTGAGCTGTTTAATTAATTTCTCCTTTTGGCTGGAAATTTCTTGGTCTTGGTGTTGTCCAACTTTTTTTAGTAGATCCAGAGTTCATCAAATATTTTTCTTCTAATACAATATCTAGCTAATCCAAGTCTTACATATTCAGGTTTATTTGGTTTCTCTTTATATTGAATGTTAAGATCCTGCGTTTTCGCAATTTATTATTGCGTCATATAACTTTATCACGAGCTAAAATCGCATTTGTAGAATAAAATAGTTACCTTGTTGAAATAAAATGCAATTTATGATTTGGTGGTTTATGATGACTTCGCAGCTCATTATTACGTCGTATAACTTCATCACGAGCCAAAATTGCACTAGTACATATATTCTCGAAAAAAAGCCAGAGTTTTGAAAAATAATAGCATAACTTTTTTATTAGATGATGATTTTTATATTCACTTGCATCAATTAAAGGCCCCTCATCCCAAAAAGTACAAATTCAATTCAATCGAAAACTGTATTAATTTTTTTATCAAGTTATAACTTAGCATTTTTAAAAATTAGATATCTTTAGCTGTTCTGTAACTTCTCTTGCTGAATCTTTATATTTGGAATTACTTTTGGAAACTTCTTCAAATAGATTAAGGGCTTCTTTAGGATTTTTACTAATTCCTAGCTCATTCAATAAATAAATGAATTGCTAAAAAATATTTCGCATTATATGCTAATTTTGTATTTTCAATTTTATATCCATAGGCGACAGAATGAAAAGAACAATAAGATGTTTTGTAACCTTTTTTTTGATAGGAACTGACAGCATAACCAAACAGACTTTTGTATTCCTCTTCATGAGAAGGTTCCTTTTTTTTTGTAGACATCATTTCAGAATGTTAATTGATGTTTCTTTGTCTATATTTATAGAAACAAATTCATTGATCAAATACAGTAAACAATTTATTAACAAAGATGAATTAATTATCAATTGAATTATAATTTTTAAAATTGATATTGGCTTCATTATATTCAAGTAAATTTTGAATTATATTTTGCTTCTTTTATATACAGTATTTAAAGTTTGACAAATACTTATGTGATTGGGCAATTATTTTTGATTGCATGTGTGAATTGAATCAATTTTCTTTACTGCCATAATAAAATATGTAATTAAAAGATTTAATATGATAAATTAAGATTTTATTCAATTTGTAATTGATACCTGCTATTA